TCCAACTGTTAGAAAATATGCGAAGGTAGCCCTGGCCTCTTTCAGCCCTGAAAGGAAGGTTCATAAGAAAGAAAGTGACATGGAGACTCTCATCCTAACACCTCCCCCTGGAACAGCTGATATTGACAAAGAGGGAGAGGAGGGCAGGAAGGCCCGAGAAATCTGTTTTATAAATATACAGAGGGAGCTACGCATACGTGGAGTGTTCCTTCGTCACGAGTATCCACAGGTATACCAGCAACTCTGTGAGTTTGTGGAGAGTAACAGAAGGTTCACTCCCACCACTATATATCCCATAGATAAGAGGACAGGTAAACAGTTCATGTGCATGATCATGGCTGCGTCAGAACCCAGGACTTTAGACTGGGTGGGAACGCCACATCTCCTTGATGACATAATTTAAGTGCACCTTCTGTTGTATATATGTATCCAAATACATATATAATCTTATTCATGCTGTATTTATATCAAACTTATAACAGACGTTAGCCTATTTTGTTAGCATTTCTGTCAGTATTATTCTTATCACAATAACATCTGTTTTCTGGAAAATGTGTAAGTCTAATAATTTGTTTAGTTGCCTATTATCCATCCTCATTTATATGCACATATTATCCTACACTTGCATTATTCTATTTTTTTTATTAAGTGTTATTAACAAGTGTAAATGACACAGTCCAGTGTCCAGTTTATTTATTCAGTGACATAGGAGAAATCTCCCATGCAGAATAGGTCTCCACTCTTTACCTATAGCTACGTACAATACTTTCTATGCAAGCACTTGTGGTAGATTATCTGATATTATATCATATATGATACTATAGTATAACACCAGAAATTTCATATAGTAATAAATTAATACATGACAACTAGTTGGTATTTTGATTATTGTAAAAGATATTGTAACACTACATAAATATATAAAATATGTGAATATATTGTTTCACAAACAGAAATACTTGATAATAATAATTTAAAAGAGAGATGCAATATTGCTCTGGTATTATTCCTCCTAATTGGATTATTACCAGAGTAAGGCATATTTCAAGTAACTTTGTCAATGGTGCCAGTTACCAGCCCTTGTTGGTAAATTACACTGTGAGTAGAAAAAAAACAAACTGAAAAAAAAAAACATGCCATTCGACAAGCTGAGGAGTTAAATCATTGAATTAGCAGCAGATGTAATTGTGAACACCGTGAGCCACCTTTGGCATAGTAGCTGTAGGGTGAATTTATGCTTGAAAATCATTTGTTGTGTATTTGTACTGAAATATGTTTATTATGTGTGATTTTCTATTGCCATTTTGGTTTGGTTGAACCTGATGAACATGGTTCAGTGCAACTTAGATTTGTCACTTTTCAATCATTTTGTTTTTTCTCCAATGTATCTTTCTTTAATCTTAACAATCCTGCCAGCACGAAACAGCCAAAAAGTTGAAAGTGATCATTGTGTTCCAGCCTTCTGTACAGACTGAATAAGCTGTCCCACTCTACACTCTGTCCCACTCTGTAATTACCCACATTTATGTCCCTCATTAATTTAGACTCTTAGGGCTTGTAAGACAATTACAATGAAACTTGAAGCACATACATATTTATTTGAGTGTGTTTTCCCAATCATGGAAGGCTGAGAGGAAGTGCTGTACAGATCTAGTGAAGGATGCTGGCTGCATGTGATTTTGTTGTCTATTCATTTTTACATTGATGCTAGTTGCTTGCTTGATGAATGGACTTGTGTACGTGAAACTACATACGTGTAAAATAAAATGCATTTTCCATAATCATTAGTCATTCGAGTTTAAAAAATGTGTTAAAACACAATGATGAAACCTCACAAAAATGTCTAAAAAATCATGTAATATTGTATTTTTTATACTTTCAACATATGTGTATGACTGTGTCTATTTATATACCATATCTAATAAATGGAATGAGAATCGTACGCATATTCTTGGTATCTATTCTGAACACTCACAGAGTTGAGAGATCTTTAGGAGAAATATAAAACAGCTTTCAAATCTGCATTACCTTAGTCTTGTTTCTTATGTACGAAGACTGAATCTATGTATGACGTGTATAAGAATCAGTCTGGGGTGGTGCGCCAACTACAAATGCATGGGACCCTCACATCCAGATCGCTCTCTTGACCTCCATCAGTCCTTTATTTTCTGCATGCTCCACCTCCTATTTCACAATCAATAAATCAGTGAACATCCTCAGGCTTGCTTCTTTGTTACACTTGTGTGAGAGCTCTCAAAGGAAGTAGGCCATGACAGTGAAAGAATGTAAAGCAATGGCTAAAATGGGGCAACCCACTCTGGTGGCTGGCCATGGCTCAGCTCAGCATCTTTGTGACAGTTGGCAGCTTTCCTCACTTCTCTGTGAGGAACTTGGATAAGAGCAGCACATTAGGTCTGAATTTTATTCAGCGAGCTAGCTCAAGTGTAACCCGGTCCCAGGAGGAGGATGAGAGTATCTAGGTTAAGGGAGTAACGTACGTTCACATCCCAAAGTAAAGGTCCATTCAGCAGGCACAGAACTGACTGTAGGCCCTATATTTCTTTAACCATGCAATAGCCATGTGTAAATACTGGATTAGATGAGACCATGGACCTATCTACCACAAACACCACTACTGTGTAAAAAATAAGCAGAGAAGCAAATGATGAGTCTATATTGTTAAAACTGTGCCAACTCGAATAACTGAGAACCTCTAAATACATCAAACATATCTAATATCCAACATGTACCCCATTAATGAAGGCTACTTTATATCATAATCACTACAGTTTTGTGGTTGCTCCCAGCTTTGGCACAGATCTGTCATGACCCATATTGTCCACCAGATGGCAGGGCTGTCTTCAGTATTGTTTAACACTTACACCCCGTTAGAGAAGAGGGTTTTGACAAAATCTGAAGGAGAAACAAAAAAGGGAAGTTCATGATGGATAGTTCACATCTTGGCATGGAAAGGAGGAATGCATAAGGCTCAAATAATATCAGACTGTCAACAGCCCTCTGAGGGCTTGTATAGACACATTGGCTGCATATAATTTTAGTGATTACATTACACAATTTGTTTAGAATTTTTTAAATATTCACAGTGTGTTGTTATGCAGTGTGATGGTTGCAATTCAGACTTGGGAGACCATGGCGTTTCTTTATTGTGATTTGATAAACATGCCCCATAACAGCTCACATAATTTAGCTAGGTACATTTCATTGTGTCTTTGACACAGCTAGTTGGAGTCAGTCATGCTTAAATAGTTGTTCAGTATCAACCTCTAGTGGTTGTTTTAAGGCTTTTAATGAACCATTGATCTTCAAATCCACGCACTAGCTCAACCACTTGTTCCCAAATGAAACGAGGAGTGAGACGAAGGTAAACCATAAGTGATGACAGACAGCTATCACTATAGTGACGGCTTTGTCTGTACTTAAGTCTTTGTGTCAGTACCAAATTAATCACATCCAACAATCTTGGCAAATTCATTTCATAGCATTATTGTAATTGTAAAATCTTTGTGATTAAAAATAAAAATACATGATTACATGTTTCCAAAGTATCCATGATCTGACAGGACAAAAAGTTCAAATCCATTAGGTTGGACACTAGTGAAAAAGTCCTCCGATCACAAACATTGGTATGTTTTATTGTCTTCGTTGTAGGACTGATTCGAGTTTCTCTGATTCTGAGGCTGCTATAGCAGAGACACCGTTTTTATCCATTTGCTTCATGTATAAAAGTGTGCCTTTCCAACTGCTTTAAACCTTCTTTACAGGTGACTTTGCCTGTAGTTGTCTCAAACAGACCTTCAGGCTGGTGTTTGACTCTGTGCAGACAGATGCATCGATCACTGTCCAGTTTTCTTGTCCTTCTGGAAACTAAAGCTGGTCCTGCGGCTCAGTTTCCGTTGTTTTTGGGCAAAGTAATCGGCCCGCGACGAGCTGGCCCGGGACTCTAGGATGTAGTTCACCTGAAATAATGTAGAATGCTAATTTGTTATTACACATTACAGGGTGATGTTATGAGTCTAATGACCAAAATAAAAATCTTTGTTAACAAAGATACGACTTAAGATTTTGTAGTGACAATCTTAAGTGCTCAATGGTTCATATTTATGACACCAGGAGAGGATGGTTGCCTGGCTACAATCACTGTCATCTTTAGTGTATTGGTTTGTAGTGGCAATTGTGTATATAACTCACCTTTAGCACTATTTCATTGACAGTAGCAGCATCAGATTCAAAGTAGAGAGGCTTGTAGTCATGATTGCTCAGGTAGGTGAGTTTAAATATTGCATGACCTGTATGATTAAAGGAAGGGACAGTGGTCAGTAATTTTTAAAAAATCAGATAACTTGCATGGCATTTCAATAATATAACTCCAGAAATCAGATAATGATTGGGGTTTTATTGCAAAAATAGCTAATTAGTTTGGGATTTTGATCAAGTGCAACATACACAGTTCAAATGATGGAAGTTAAGGACAATTGTGTGATTTGAGCTGCTTGTTTTTCCTGTACCCATGGTGACACTACATGTTATGCTACAGACTTTTTACAACAATGCAACAGGCTTTGTCCCCAGGCCCCTCTCACCCTGACAGACACCTCCATCACCACCACAGACTGTCTCTGCTTCCTTGGCAGTCAATACCACTCAGGACCTCAAGAGGGAGCCAACCTTCAGCTCCATTATGAAGAAAGTCCAGCAGAGGTCTGACTCTTCTCACCCAGTCCATGGATGATTTGAGCCATTCCCCCTGCTGTCCATTCAGACCAGAATCTCTCGACACAGGAACAGTTTATTCCCCTCTGCCATTGGATGCATGAGCACTTTAAATGTCACTGTCACTTTAAATAACTAGAAAAGCACTCAGAGAGCGCAGACCTCCCCCAAGGACTACCCCCATTTTTTATATAAATTGCGATAAAATCAGTCTTCTGGATCAGATCCGGATCAGCCTTTGGAATATGAGAGAGGATCCCATTGTCCATCCCCGAGTCAAATTTAATGGGGTTTGGTCAATAATTAACCGAGATATTGAGAAACACAATTTTTGGCCCCATTTACCACAATGTTAACTAAAATTTCAAAGTGATCTTCCGGATCACCCCCAAAACAAAATCAGTTTTTACTTTTCACATTTCCAACAAATCCTGAAAATTTCATCAAAATCGGTCCATAACTTTTTGAGTTATGTTGCTAACAGGCAAACAAACAAACAAACAAACAAACAGACAAATGCTGGCAAAAACATAACCTCCTTGGCGGAGGTAACTATAATCTCCTTGCACTGACAGTTTGCACTGTTGTTCTGCCCATATTGTATATTTTTAATTTGTATATCAAAGTCTATATTTGCCTTTTTTTAATGTGTGCCCTTATTTTTATTTTATCATATTTTATATTTCCTTTTATTATTGAATGTTTTGTTCACTGGTATGTTGTACCATACTAACAAGGACTTTTGATTCTAAACTAGGCTAGAATAAGCCTTTTGCCTCAGCCTGCTCTTTTTGAGCTTTGCCGTGTAACTTTTTTCTTACACTTCATTAAAAAAAGCCTTCTTTCTGTTACACTGTGTAACAAATTGGTCGTGCAAAAAAAAAAAAATGAAATGAAATAGATGGAGATAACTTACTGGGGCTTCTCTCTTCTACCAGATCACAGGCACAGAGGTGGTCTGAGTCTATTGAGATGGGCTTCTGTCTAATCCAGAACTTGGTGCTGGCTTTCTGATTGGTCACTGGATCAATCTCGACTTTCTCTCCTGAAATACCTGTGTGGTCAAGTTAACAACAACATGAGATATTTCCAACTGTTAACTGCAATTCACAAGGACATGTGGCAGTAGGAGTCCATGCCAGTACTACCTAGCTGCACATCTGTGGTAAACCGCAGCTTGTGGATCATGCTGATCTTGAACGACTTGTAATGGTGACTACTAAGCATGTCCTGGACAGAGGTGATATCAATTGGGGGGTCCTCCTCTGAGCTCTCTTCTCCCCTGGAACCTGAACACAAAAGAAAATGTGTTATGAAAATATGTTGTTTTTCTTTGTAATAAAAGTATCTTAAATTGAACTTACTGTTTTCTCTGACCAAACAGAATTCAAGTGTACCCTGAGTCTCCAGTGTGGAGTCTAAGTCAACTGCCACATTTGGCTCGGTCTGTTTTTCCAAACGGTACATAGGCCCTAAAGGAAGAGAAACACCAAAAGTTAACTTTTCTAAAATAATACATATCCTTCATACAGAAAATCATACATTCAAACACAGTCAAAAGTAGACTTAAAATATTTGCCTCTCTTGAAATATGGGCCCACTGAAACCATTTTTTCTTGCTTTAATTGTACAAAAATATGACGTTAAAAATTTTAAAAGAAATCAAGTCACCTCCTTTAGGCACAGTGCAATTATTTTTTGGTAGTATGCATGTTTAGGATCTAAAAAAAGACTATTTATTGCTCAAGCTTCACAATATACAACATGTTCCTTAAATCTTGCATAGCTTTTTAGCCCCGTGTGTGGTACGTGTGTTGTAAGCGTGCAAATCAGTAGAGCTACTTTAACTACCTGAGCCTTTTTGAGAGCCTTTCCTTTTCTTCAATGCTTTCTGGAGGATGTCATTCATGGTTACCTTCAGACTGTCCACAGGTATTAAAGAGAAGCCATGAGCAGCATTTCTGCAACACAAAATACAGTTACATACTATATATAGACACACTCCAATCACTTGTTTGGCCTCCGGTCGAAACTTACATTCTAACGAACAGAGACTGTCTAGAGGCAAGGCCAGGTGAAGAATATTTCTCTACTAATGCTAACGTGCTAAAACCAAACTTATGGATGGGTTCATTTGAGTCCAGAGGAGGAAAATCTGTGTCTACTTCACCATCATCCTCAGCAATGTGCAGACAGTAGGCATTCACATTCTCACTGTAAAGAAAAACAGAGGTTAGGTTGTGACACTGTTTAAATAAAAAAAACTTTGCATGTCATCCTATATTTGCCACATATTACCCACTTGAGTTTAGGTTCCCTTCCTTCGCTTGTGTACTGCCAGCAAATTAGCCCAATGAGATCATATACACGGGCATTGGCAATGGTTACGACAGTCATCGGATGAACCTTGTCTTGACCCATTTGCATAGAGAGGTAGACATCAATCTTTTTTGTAGCTGTTGTCCCGATATGGCCCTTTAGACAAACATATAGATTAATTTTTATTCAGGCAGAGACACTGAACATGCTTGGTATAGCTGATTTGGCGCACCTTCCCATCAAATTTGGAGTATTCGTTAAAGGGGTTGTTGAGTTGCTGGGGACACTGCTCCAGTCGCAATGACAGTGTGGACTTAGTGCCTGTTGTCCTTGGTCGATCTTTAAAGTCACGTTTCTCAAATAATGAGCCCAAATCCTCAACTGAAAACAATTACATTGCACAAATTTACAAATATATAGCACAATATGAATATGATGTGAGTAAAACCTCTCAATCATCCAGGCAGAATCTATGACAAAAGGAGAAATTCAATTTGCCAACTGGACAACAGTTTTTTTTTTGTCAACTACGTTTTGGAGCTCATCCGAGCTGCTTCTTCAAGCTGCTTTTGACCACAACTGAAGAAGCAGCTTGGATGAGCGAAACCAAAATAAACTTTTGTCCAGTTGGCAAATTGAATTCCTCCTTTTGCTATGAATACAATGCTTACAGCACCTAAACTGTTGCTTATATTACCAGATTGAGAAGATGTCCTCTCTTTCCATTGGATGTTTTTACACTTGATTTGGTTTTGTCTCTCTTTCCTTAGTCTTTCAAGTCTTTGGGCTGCAATAGAAATTATTTTGTCAGTGGGCAAAAACGCAAAAAAAAACAAACAATTAAAGTATAGCTGATAGATTTTTTTTCTTATAAAACTTTACAAAACAAACATGAGTTAAAACAAGACACATAAGACTGGCTTTGTTGACACTACCAGGCTGACAATTTTAAATGCAAAATCTTACATATACTATATACTTTCGTTGGAGCCTTTTATCTTACCAGCTGCTACAGGTCTGTCCAGATTGTCTTGTTGCTGTCCTGATGAAACAGCCCACAAGGTCAATTTTCCATTTGCAAACTAATTTCAACTTTCTACCCAGCCCGAAGCCAACAACACACCAATTAAATATAATGAAATATATTATACCACCATATATCAAATGCCCATCAACCAGACAGCTTACCTCAAAAACAACTGTAAATACTTTCTAAAAATTTCACCTGGGTATACTGATTATTGTCCACACACAGACTCCTCTCCCCACACACCAATCACATATAAACTACATAGCCCCTGAAAAAGAGTAGAAACATGTTGGCTTGGCCATCAAAAGAAAGACTTAAATACTTTGAAAGACCTATTTGTGCTACTCATACTGTATTTATTTGGAGTTTCTGCTGCTACTATTTTGGTGAATGTAACACTTTGAGCAAACAGCCACATCTTTGTTTTTTTACTTAGTGCTTTCTTAGTTTCAACCATTGTCATTCAGATTCAAATACAGTATGTAAATTCATAAGTCAAAATCCATGGGTTTCAGAGTGGTGTTGTTATATAGAGATTAACATTTAAAAATATTTTTATTTTTTTGTAATGGTAAAAAGAACTCCAATTCAAATATTATATCTTTTGAATGGGGAAAGGTCCTCACAAATCAAATTAGGAATTTGCAACATTTGCCTGAAACCCATGAATAAACAGGAAGTTATGAATAGGTCATTAATATGCCAGGTTCTGCTTTAAAAAATAAATAAATAACCAGCACCCATTACACTGGATTAATTAAGTTGTAATCTTAGACTGTATAAAGAAATAGACTAAGGGACTTTGACATCACCCATAGTGTTCATCTCCAGTCAAATTAAGCTCACGATATTAGAAATAAAAAAATTATTAACTGACAAAATGGCAAAATAAAAACTCCATGAACACATCCTGTTTGGAGCGTGATGGCTACGGAGTTAGCCATGTCCATTTATGCAGCCTATGGTTGCAACTACTGAGTGCACCAGTGCTCCATGAACACTGTGCTTAAATAAAGAACATGGCAAAATGTCGAAGGCATGCACAATGAGCCAAATAAGGCTGTTTGCAAATATTCAAAACTTTTGTTGTGCTGTTAAAGTATAAAAAGAATGCAAAGCAACGATTTTCAGCTGCCAAGTGACTCTGGCATGAAAACAAAAACACACAACACAAAATTTTATCAACAAATATACAAACCCAATCAATTAAAAAGCAAAAACGTGTTTCCATTTGGCACTGATTCAGAGCAGACTAACTATATTCAGAAATATTCCCAGATTGGACACACAGAACAACTTCCCGAACTGCCACACAAAAAGCAGACTTGGCTTTCTTTAAGACCCAGGACACACTGGATGCGTATTTCACCATATGCATACAATAAAGCAGCACATATTTAAGTTTTGTTTTTTACCATTGAAGTGAGTGAGCACTCTGCCATTTCAGAAGCAGATTATCAATACTATGACTCTTGCTGCAAGCATAGAGTGTGTATTCCATTCAAAATACATTTAAAAAATCTAAAAACAATGGTACACACAAGCCTGTTCAGTGACTGGCTTTTACCAATGAGAAATACAGAGTTAGTCCTGCACACAGCTGTCCTGCTCAAGCTGTCAGTGTGCCCACTCTTACAATGACACCCAGCAGTGGTTTCACAAGCTGACGCTGCCAGTGTGTTTGGGGCCTTGATCAGAGCAACTTTACTCCATGCGATGCAAATATGAGGTACATTTTAATTTGTCACATAAATATTGTATATGAGTCTAAAATCCCATAATTGATCAAAAAAACTAAAAGCGAAAGCTACTGCCTTTGACCATTCAAGAACACACTGGTACCTGTATTTGATCGCCGACGAATACCAAAGTCCCAGCTGGAGGTGATGTCCATTGACTGTGAGAGATCACAGGTATGATTGTCCGTCACATTGCTGCCTGCCTCATTCAAGGAGCCAGACCCTGTGGAGCCACAGCTGTTGCCAGGCACCAAAGCTAACTGGCACTTTTCCAGATCAACATCCTGGTCGATTAGTACCATCTCACACATCCCTGTGTCATCACTAGTCACATGAGACTGTCTGATGTGGGCCAAAATAATAGCTGGGTTATCCAGGAAAGCCATTTATTCTTTGTGTGAAATCCTGTTTTCAACGCTCAATGCTCAATGTTTTGCTTTCCATATAGATTTCTTTCCTCGGTCAGTCGCTCTGACACACTGTGAAAACAGTGTGCGATGACCTGAGCTGAGCAGTCATTTTTTTGCTTTATTTTTAACTTCTTTGCTTCCAAATCGAAATGGTTCCTGCGTAAAATGACAAAATAAAAATCAGAGTCAAATTTATTTCATTCAGTTAAAACATTCAAATCCAGACACAAACGTCTTTGTAATTTTTTTTTAACTGATAAGTTAGCTGATGGCAGTTATCACATAACAAACACATGCCAATCAGTGATGAACACGTGAACCTGCATATTTATACTGTGGACATGACTGTTTATATTTTCAACAGATAGATGGCAATAGCAAACATAGCAAAGCAATGCCATCAGGTAAAATGAAGATGGCCCATTGAAGTCTACGTGTTAAATGTATATAAACAAAGTTGACATTTGCTGTTACTTACTATAGAATATCAAACAAGTTGGATAATAAACAGAACCAACGTTAACGTTAATCCTACTGGATAAGCTAACGCTAGCTCGCGAAACCAATGCTAACTTGTAATACTTGCTAAAGCGATTACAGACTTAGCAAAATATCAAATGTACAAGTTGTCGGGCGTGTGAGAAGAATTTCAATACATTTATTATACAACAATTGCAACATTTTTCTGTGCTAATCGTATCTGGATAAGCTGTCATCAATTTCTAATAAGCAACATTGACGTTAGCTGGTGCAGCCATCTCCAAACCCCAGCTACAAATGTTAACTGCAAAAAAAGTGCGACAGGCATGTATCCGGTGGATATATTTAGTACATTACTCCATTCAAAGTACAAATACAAACTAAAACAAATGTGAGCACTTTAAACTTGTCAGACAAGTAAGATGCTGCTAGCTGTTAGCAGTTATCATCATACCTTTATGAAGAAGTAACTTACAGATTTTTATCTCACCTTTAGTAGTCACATTTGAGGAAAATTGCACGTGTAAAAAATGCTCCATTTTATCCAGATATACTCTCTGCTATGACATTAGATGTCTTTCGTTAAAACGTACACAGATCACTTTAACAAATCACAATACAGCAGCTGTGAGCTGAGCTCAGCTCCAGCACCACAGCCCCCTTCTTCTTCTGCTGCTGCTTCTTAGTGATGTTTAACGGCGGTTGGCACCAACCTGGTGAGTTGTGTTACCGCCCTCTACTGCTCCGGAAAGCACAGGTACAAGAGGACAGTTCAGGTAGCGTAGGAAGATCTGTGTGAGGACAGTTTGAGTAGAGGAAGAGCCAAAAGTGTCCCTTCTTTGTACTCAACTTTCTGCCTTTAGATTTGAAAGTTGTGACATGGGATTTTAATTTAAAATTTTAAAAAGAAAGAAAATCAAATACCCCAGACAAACTTTCTTTGTATTTGATTATGATGTAATTGTTCATTATTTCACTCTGCTTCCCGTTTTCTATTAGATTCAGAACATTTTAAAGCAACAGTAACTTTCTGGAGGTGGAAAGTCAACTGCATGATTCCATAGAAATAGAAAGTTAAACGAGAATATGCTCCATGGTAATAGATGATTTTATGCCATACTGTGGAAGATTAAAATTATCTATTTATTTTTATTGTTTTAGCAAATTTTTTGAAACTTAGTTTAGTTTGATTACTTGACTCAAGCATGTATCTGAACAGGGGCACATGTGTGATCTTTCAATTTTCTTCCACATATTTTTGATCAAATTGGTCAAAATCTACTCTGCAACTGGTAATGTACTTTTATTTTTATTTTTTTACATAATACAGTACAGACAATAATACAATACAGGTTTTAGACAAAAAAGTCTAAAATCTGTGTGACGTATGAACTCCAGTGGCAGAGTGCACTAAACCATTGATTCTCTGTGGTCACTGAAAGCAGACTAAAGCTTCTGAGCTGCTCTGTCAAATTAATCAAAGAGCACAGAAAAACAAATGATGAGAATTTGAATATTTTGATGGTATAACTTGGTTTTTGAGGGATGATCGATCAGTTTTGAATGAAAACTGCATTTTGCTGAAATAAAAATTTGTTTTGGAAAAATAAAATTCTGTTTAGGATTTTATGTGAGCTGTTTTGCAAATGTCAATTTCCAAAAGATAAAAGTGTCAAAACAATTGAAAAAAAAAGTGTTAACTGCATACTCTTCTCACCTCTTGTGTATAAAATGCTTCCTTTACCCTCGGCCATGGTTAGCTTCCTCCACAGACACCATTCGTGTCAGAAGCTCACCGTCTGTCGGCTTACAACATGAAACAAAAACAAATAAATGCACGACTACAACAAATCAAATGTAATTTTTGTGTGTGTGTGTGTTTTTTAAACCAGTTATTTGTTTTAACATTATACAAACGGGAAAATAAAATAAATGCCAAGTGCTGATTGGTAATACTAATATGTTAAAATATTCTCAAAGAAGCAACAAATGTATGAAATATTATTATTTTTTAATTAATTCCTTGTAAACAGTAAACACAACTTTTCAAAAAGTAAAGCACAGCACTAACAGTTCCAGCATGAAGCTTTACTCAATCTTTATATTTTTGGCCAGAAAAAACAACTTGTCCAAATTGTCTGCAGTAAGTGCAAGAGGGGAGGGGTAATGACTTTAGTTTTGCAAGGATTCACGTGGTTAGGAGGGATGTGGTTAAGGCTGGGAGCAATTGTTGTGAAGGTGGCCACCCCTATAAAGCATTGCAGGAAACGCTGCCACCCCAATAATGGACGAGTTCCCTCATGAATACTAAAGAGCCAAACCTTCCGTGCATCAGTGGAGAGGTCAGAGGATGCCATACCCAAAACCCTACTCCAAAGCACCAGTGTTAACTGGTTTAAAAAGAAGAATCCCAATGCAGCCCCAACCTGTGTCCCACCTGGCAAACAACATGGCAGAGATGAGGGAGAAGATCATATCCGGGATGGAGCGCTTGACCATATGCAAAGGCTCCAGTCTCCAGAATTCCATGGTCTACTGGTTTGGACTAACCTGTCTGAAAAGGGAGTGCAGGACCACCAGTGTCCAGCAGCACAATCCCATCCTTCAGCCTTTGGTCCAAAAAGAATACCTCAAAACATGCCAAAAACCCAGTCAACCCTGGAAAAATAAACTCAAGGTGTGGAAGAAGGACTTGGTGAATCAGTATAAGAGGCAGCCAGTCCCTCACAAGAAGGCCCAGGAGAAGAGGCCAGTTCAGATCAAACAACAAGAAATGATCATTAAAGGAGCTGGTCTCCTTAGAATCTTTTAAACAGATTTTAAAAATCCTCAGGGTGTAATTGTTTAATCTATCTTTGAATTGTGTTGATTGTTCTGTCATATTGAATGTATTGTATGTATGTTTTTATATGTTTTGAAACTGTAGTTTTGTGGCTTCTTGGCCAGGACGCTCTTGAAAAAGAGATTTTTAATCTCAATGAGACTTTTTCCTGATTAAATAAAGGTTAAATAAAATAAATTAAAGGCAACATCCAGGAACTCCAAGAGAGAGCAGTCATGATCCAGCCCACTTGTACACCAGTGTATCAAGGTGCTGCTAAACAAGGTGCTCACAATGCCCCTTCCAAAGTCCCAAAACAGTGGAAAGTGGAGGACCAGGAGGGAACAGTACATGGACAAACCCTCTAGAGAGGGGAAGGAGGAGAAGAGGGGAATGAAAAAAAAAAACAGCTACAAACAAAACAACAGAACAGTCTCTAAATACATCAGGAAACAGGAACAGCACATTTCAAATGTTTTAGGTAAATATAAGGACTGGTATAGCTAGTGCCCCACAATCTGGGGATGGAAAGGACAAAAAACAGGTTGATAGACAGTAGATTGAGCATTTGTTGGATCTTGATAAATCCCATCTCAAAGCTGAATAACTGCATTACTCACTAAAAATAAATTTAGGACTTGTAAGTAGGTTTAGACAGCCCAACTGGAATTCCTAAAAGACCTAAAATGTTAGAAAACATGTATTAAGTTTTTCAAAACAAAATGCAAAATGTATAAACACTCTCAAGTTTGGTCATGAAGAGCTGTATCAAGTTTTCTGAGAAAGGTAAATTGTGTGAACTGATGAGAAATGTTATAAAAGTTTTGACCCTGTTCTGAAAAAATATTTGAATCAAATGATCAAACTGAACCAGGTTAAAAAAAAAAAAAAAAGCAAAAATTTAAGAAATGTGTTTTCTTTTTCAATATTTTCATTGAGCTACAAGTTAAATAAATATAATTTATTAATTTTCAATAAAACTATGTCAATGAAAAATATCAGTTCCAAGTAGTCATTGAGACTAGGTCTGTTACTATAATCATTAGGTTAATTTATCAGTTGACACAGAGTGAAAGCACTTCTGAAGGCTGAGTGGACGCAGTCTCAAGGCAATCAAACAGAGAGCAAATGAGGCCAATAAATCTAACCTCGTGTTCATTATATAAAGTGTATTCAAACAAATCAAAAAGGGTAAATTAATCTAGTGTCACTGTTATATTATAAAAAATTGCATTTTTAATGTATGATCAATTATCAGTTGTTTGGACCAAATATTATCATTTGTTTGTCCATTTAAAATAATTTGTTTAGGGTCATCTATTTTAGTATTCAGAAAACTTTTGCTCTATACCTCTACTACATCCTCATTTTCCTCATTCTCTGCTGCCTAATAGATACAATATAAATAATTTATTTGGAGACATAAATTCTACCCACTATCATGCTGTTCATCTTCTAGTGACCCTAAATGAACATAATATAAGGATATTTGAATATTTAACTAAAAACTAGTTAATGCACAGCTGTTTTAATAAAAAGTCAATGAATAATCTAGAGCTGCAAACCCACACACAGGTGAGAATGTGACTGTGTGTGTACTTCTCAGTCTAGATCAGGTGTCTAATGTTTTTGAGTGTAGCCTCATGTTATGTATGAGCAAGAATGTGCAGCATTCTGCAGTCTAGTTTGACTCAAACATGAAAATATGACTTGAGCTTATAGCTTACCCAGCCTCCTTGTTTCATTCACTATTACACACTTTATTGTAGTCAGCATTAAGTTAAATTATGCTTGGAGATGGTGCCAGTGATTTAAAGAGGAAAGGGCTGTATAATTTTATTGAGTCAAAAAGGATTTAGGTGCAGGGAAGGGGGCTGGATGGCTTGTTTATTTATTACTGTCTTCAACCCAATACACTTCACAGCTGTGTGCAAGGGTCTGCATGTAGATTTACAGATGGTCCTTACATTAGGCGGAGAATGTGACTAGCAGGAATCCCCAGAAAAACTTAATTCCTCACAATATAGCCAATTTAAATTTAAAAAACCTCATGGGAATCATTATTATGCTCTTTGAAATTGGACAGCACCAGGCCCTGGCACGATCCAATCATGAAAGAAGAGCACTGCTCTCCATGTGCCCCTGGCAGCACAAATAAACCAGCTGCTAAGGAATGGGATTCACCCTGAATGCTTAACCCAAGGGCATAAGATCCTGATCCTGAAGGATCCCTCAAAGGGTGCAGTCCTATCCAACTCTCAGCCATTAACCTGTGTCTCTATGCAACATAGAAGCTCATGTCAGGCATCATCGCGACTAAGATAAGTGGGCACATGGATCAATACATGTGCACAGCACAGAAGGGCATCAGCAAAAACACCAGGAGAGCTTAACACCAACTCCTTGTTGACTGAACCATCGCCCATGACTGCAGAACCCATCAGACCAACCTGTGCCTTACCTGGACTGATTGCAAGAAAGCCTACACACATGGATCAGTGCTTGGAGTTGTACAATATGCATAGGACTCTAGAGGCCTTCATTGCAAACTTGATACAGTTATGGAAAACCACCCTTAAAACCAATGGCAAACCACTTGCAGCAAATGCCCATCAAATGTGGCATATGCCAAGGAGACTCACTGTCCCCAGTGCTGTTCTGCATTGGTCTGAACCCCCTCAGCCAAATCATCGACTGCACTGGCTACAGATACCAACTCAGAAATGGGGCCACCATCAGTCACCTCCTCTCCATGGATGATATCAAGCTGTACGCTAAGAGCGAGCGAGACATCGACTCACTGATCCACACCACCAGGATCTACAGCACAGACACTGGAATGTAATTCAGCCTTATGAAATGTAGTAGGATGTTGACAAAGAGAGGGACGGTAGTTCACACAGAGGGGGTCTCACTCCCTGACGGAACAATAGCAGACACTGAGGACAGTTACAAATACCTTGGTATCCCACAAGCAAATGACAACCTTAAAGAGGCAACAAGGAAAGCAGCTAGGGCCAAATACTTGCAATGAGTGAGACAAGTCCTAAGAAGCTGGCTCAAGGGCAAGAACAAGACCCAGGCAATAAACAGCTACGCCCTGCCAGTGATCAGATTGAAGTGTTTGGAGAAACTTTATATGAGTAGACCTACTTTTCCCCTTCATTTTGGCTTGGCATCATCTGTTTATCTCCATGGAAATAGATCAGTTACCATAGGTTACCATACTGTGGAAGATTCCTGATAAAGCAATAACGATGGAAACAAAGAGGTAGTGGGCCCTCCACCAAAAATGTTACACAGTCACGGGGTCCTGATTTCTGTATCAACAGACTAGGTCTAAGCTTATGTAAGGAACTATAGCGACATCTGTTGGTTTTAGAAAGTAGGCTACTGCGTTTTAACAGCCATTAATGGGAATGGATACTTAGAAACTTGGAAACTATTTACCAACAGTTGTCTCTAGGTTATGTGAATGCATTCAATAATGATTTCAAAGGTCTAATAATACACAAAACTGAACTTTGAACTTTAAACAATGTTATAACCTTTGTACCTCATCAAAAACATACCTGGGCTGAAATCATCAATCATGTGGTGAAGCTGTATGGAGCTTAAAAACACAGTGGAGCACTTGGTCACTTCCTATATTACCACATAACCTCACAAGGTGGAATGAGAGAAGAACTCGGTTTAAATATGCAGGGTTTGTGTGTTAAACATGTAAATGAAACAAAACACAACTCCAAGTTGGCTGTTAATGATAAAGAAATAATAAAGAAACAACATTATAACATGGATCAGAAAATAGTTATAATATAGGCCATTTAAGGATTTTTTAGACCTACAACCAACTATCAAGTTGATGGTCCATAAGTCAATATTTTTAAATAGGCCTACCTACCATGGCCCTTTAATGACAGACATCCAATATTTATTTTCATGGACAAGACTTGGCTATTCCACAAAACTTGTTGGAATCCCGCTGATACTATGTTTTTAGTCCTTTTTATTAGGCTATATCATCAAAGGATATGGTGTTCTGAAGAAGGCTAAAGGCCTAAGTTATATTATAGCCTGCCCCGTGGCAGAAACATGAAAGCAAAGGTAGCCTTAATAAATGAACAGGACAGTACATCAGCATTACCATTCTGCTTAACTGTCATTATTATTATTACTTTGTTATATGTAGCCTACATTTATCTGTTTGAGTCCTAAATGTCAGTGATCCCCTTCCCCTTAGGTTTTCGCTTTCTAAATTTAGTTGTTGATATTGGGCCTAGCTGCTTGTACGTGTTTACTAAGCTCAAATGAAAACAGGGAGGGGGTCGTCTTCTCCAGTTCTCCAAATGATCTCTATCCATTCACAGCTCCTCCATGGCTACACTTCATTATGTGCCACTCGAAAAGCCATAATGTACGGTGGCTCTAACATCTGAAGCATATAACTCTGCTTAACCATGGTGAACAAACTGAGCTAAAGTTGTGAAGTGGATAAGTTTCCAAATCAACGCAGAATAGAAGACAACGCGGATTCGCTGGTAAGTGGGTAATAATGCTAACAGAGTGTTAGCATGCATCATGGGCGATGTTGCTGCTAAAGCTTTTACGCTGTGCCAATTTCGTTCTATCTCGCTGTTGTAATACTGAAATGTCATTTGTTTCAAAGACTTAACAGACTATCTCAAAGCCATCTTTAAAGTAGCTTGCTTTTTGAGATAAAGGCTACAATTTAGCATTTAGCTTAATTGTGCTAGCCACGGATAGCGCCCCCACCGCACAGCTCAACTTTTGTTGTTATTTATTTTACAAACAAACGCAAAGTCTGCTCAAAACATCTAAAACTAGGTGAAGCAGCGTTTTATTATTTATAATACATCACGTTCATGCCTGGTGGTCATTACAGTGTTATTACAGAAAAACAAAATGGTCACTGATCAATCGTCTGACAATAGATAAAAGAGCTCAGGTCTTTAACCGCATTCAAAATTAACGCATGAGCATGTGTCCCCTCGTGAACCTTAACAAGGTAATCTTCCATCTGCTTTGTAGAGTAAAGGTAAGCCTTGTTAAGATGTGTTTCAGTATTGGATGTCTTGATAATGATGCTATTGATAGTTTGCAGTGGGTGTTCTACATGTACCTCTATGGTGGAATGTTTAGCAGTTACCATGGAGACAAATGCATGTAAGCAACACATTTTCAGGAGCCTGTGATCGATGCAAACTATTATGATTCTTTTAGTGTTAGGTGTGTAATTTTCAACAACAAAGGTGAGAGTGACTAAACTGCTTGCTAGTGCTAGCTAGCTTGTGATTGTAATTTTATTTGCAAGAGGCTTGTTTAACAGCACAAATCACTTGTAGTTAGCTCTTTCTGATTAGATTGTATTAAAAAGGAAAGAATAGATAAAAGATGACATCAGCTGCAAAGTATAATTTGGTTGGTATTCAACCTGTTGGTAGATGGCAGAATAACAGCCGACCCATAGATTTTGGTATACATAAAGTACCGCTTCTCTTTTTCATTTTCTAGTCAAATGGCTCATCTATTTTAAACTATATTTAAAATATTTAGGTGTCGGTTTTGAGAAGCTTCTTATTCCTTGACTTGTCACATGTAAGTGCACCTTTTCTTTGTACATGAGTTTTTCTTCTTGCACCACATGTTTTCACTAAGCCCTGTGGTTGTCAAGGAGCTGCTATGCAATAGTGCTATGCTGTTTCTGCAACAGTCTCATTGCTATGCAGCTTTGACAGTTTATCAGGCTTAGTAGTTGTGCTTCAATTGGGCCTATTTATGTGGTTTTAAAAGAGGCTAATCTAACTACTGCTGCTGTCAAAAATAATTTTTGTTTGGTTCGATTATCTGTTCTTTAGTCTACATGTTGTCAAATATTTTGTTAGATCCCTGTTGTCCTCCGTTAGAACAGCTGTTGGGTTTTTTGACCATGTTTGTTTTGTACATCTGGTCCTGACATCTGTGGCTCTTTCTTTCATTTATTTTCACAGAGTGAGAGAGGTGCGGGGGAGTTCAGAGACTTGGAGCTTGTCTGAGGAGTGGTCTTTTGCCTCTTTGTTTTCCTTTATTATGTCATGTAACGGCAATGCAGGTTATTTGGTGGATGTGCTAAAAGCTAGATATAATTATAGTTGTTGTTGACTTGTTTTTACCTTAATACCTCCAGAATTCTACATAATATATAAAATAATTTTCTTTTTTTAATCTCTTTACAGAGCTCATTAAAGATGCCAGAGGTTCGGGACCTTTCAGAGGCTCTGCCTGAAATGCCCTTGGATCCCATCACTGGAGTCGGAGTTGTAGCCTCTAGAAACAGAGCTCCCACTGGATATGATGTGGTAAGAATAATTTTATTCCATACTGCCTAGTTCGTGGCTGGATGATTTTGAATGAATTGTTTTCCACACTTCTGTGTTTCTTAGGTCTCTACCACCACAGATGGCCTTGATGCTGATTTGTGGAAAGATGGCCTTTTTAAATCCAAGGTGACTCGCTACCTGTGCTTCACAAGGGTCTTTTCTAAGGAAAATGTAAGCAAACTTAACCTAATTTTCTTTCTTTGAACTTGTGCTGGCAGTTTAATTGATTGATTTTTATTGTGTTTTTAGAGCCATCTAGGCAATGTGCTTGTGGACATGAAGCTTATTGACATAAAAGACACTCTCCCTGTGGGCTTCATTCCTATACAAGAAACAGTTGATACACGTAAGTTGTAGAAATAATGATTGAAAGATGGGGACTCAGTCCATGTTGCATTAATGTAGAATGTAATAGAATGACTTTGTGTACTGATACAGAGGAGCAGGCCTTTAGGAAACGAAGACTTTGTATTAAGTTTATTCCTAGAGACTCCACAGAAGCTGCCATTTGTGACATACGCATCCTGGGACGCTCCAAACAAGCTCCTCCTCAGTACACATTTATTGGGTGAGTTGAGGTGGATTCCTTATAAGCTTGATTTGCTGCATCGAAAATGGATTACAATATTCCTAACCTTTGTACTACAACAGGGAACTCAATAATATGGGAATATGGTATCGCATGGGCAATGTGCCCCGGGCACAGGACTCCACTCACACCCCAACCACCAACAATGTCCAGAATATGAACTCCACTTCCAATGCAGCCCCTGTTCCCACTGCTCCTATGCCTAAGTATGTCTTCTCTAATAATGAGTTTGATTTTGACTTATGTTGAAGATTCACATTATTGTTCTAATGCATTGTTTTCTTTTTCAGACATATATCAATGACACTTCCTGCCAGTTTCAGAGGAAAGAACACAACAAGACCAGATTACGAGCACCAAAACTCCAATCTGTATGCCATCTCCGGTCAGAGCTTTAACTAACTTTGATCACTGGATAACAGTGGCACGTACTTGTTTGAGCTTAAACAGGGCATGCTTATGTTGACTTCTGTTTGGTATGTCTTTCAGCTATGGATGGTGTTCCTTTCATGATCTCAGAGAAGTTTGCCTGTGCCTCATCTGATGTAAGATGGATGTTTGCTTTTCTGACATACATCCACAACATTAGTCAATTCTCACTGGCTTGTGTTTTTTTTCCTTCAGTTACAGCAAGTGGATCTAATGGGCATCACCATTAAGTCGCTGGCTGAGATTGAAAAAGAAGTGAGTGCTTTTTACAGTAATAATGTCAAATTATATTATGTCCTGCTAGTTGTATCAATCAATACATTGAGCAATAAAGCTTTATTTACCCCAATTTGCAATTTAAGCAGCAAGACTACTTGTGTAACTGTGTACAGTGCAACTGTATTGTTACTATAAAATTATAGCATTTTCTTCTACTGAAATTTGAGTTAATGACAACTAAATTACAAACAACATTTTGCAAATAATGACAAAACACGGGTACAATTTTTAAGATAAGATAAAATAACCTTAATTTATTACTGTGGGACAAATAATCTTGAATTATTACCAGTAAGCATTGGGTGATGACTACCCTAAGTGTCTATATCAGAGGAGGTCAAGATGTCATCACAAAACTACTACAAAGCTGACTTCTTTATGTGCTGAATGACATGTGCACTTGTGTTTTCTCTGCAGTATGACTACAGTTTCCGTACAGAGCACAGTGCAGCAGCCCGCCTCCCTCCCAGTCCCACACGGACGTCACTCAGCTCTGAGGCCTGATCCCCAGGACTATAATCCACACTAGCCAGAGAAAAGTCAACTACTGAGCTCCCACATCAATAAAATCACTCTGAACTATGAACAAATAATAAATAGTCAACAAGAAGTGCTGATGGAAAATTGACCTTTAAAACAGGAAGTCTTTCCTATAAACTGAAAAGACAATAAATGGGTTGACTTCTGTCTTTAACCACTACAGAAAATATCTTTCTTGTATCTACTAGAGCCACAGTGAATAAATACCATCCATTTTCAAGGCTTTTGCTACAATAAAAAGCAAGAGGACAAGAAGGACAGAAAGAACAGGGTCTGATGAACATTTTTGTTTGGTTCAGTTTATCAAATTGTTATATACTTGTGAGAATGTGAGTGCACTTTGTTTTGGGGATTTGGTGTGTGCTGCAATCCACTCCCTCACTGATGATGCTATTTTAATTTTCCTGTTTTTACTGAACCACTATTTTCATATTACATATTCATATGTCAGTGGACTGGTGATCATTATAGAATGCAGCTATCTTTTATTATTAGCACCATTTCAGTCAGTCTCCGCCAAAATGTATTTACTTGATCAGTTTGTTCAAGTCGGAACCATAAAAAAAGTATTGATGCTACCACCAGGCTCATTGTCTACTCTCCCTGATTATTAAATAATTTCTCAGTGATTATTCTGTTTTACATGAACAAAATTAGTCTTTTCATTATTTTATGTACTGTGTATGTCTCTTTTTTTTAGCATCAGATGTATCCACTCTTGACTATTAACAAATCTTTTTTTTTTTTTTTTTTTTTTTTTTTAACAAAAGCTAACCTGTGAAGAGTCCTTGATTTACTGACCACTCTTTTGTGTATTGGAAACTATAATATAAATTACCACTCAGATAATACCTTTTGGTAATTATGTGCTTTTTTTTAATTTTGGTTTTCTGACTTTCCAGTTTCTTTGTGTTATATTACACTATTCATACACGCAAGTGACTTTTTGCTAAACAACTGTAAAGCATCAGTATATTCTTCTATTTGTTACATTCACTGTTCTTTGATACTGTACTTTTGTTTTGAGTTGTGTGGCAGCTCAAAAGAACATTGAGAGAACTGTTGTTTCACTGATGGAAAATTTTGCCCATTTCTACATATTTTTTGTGTTTTAATTTATTAGTGAATTCAGTATTGAACCTATGTTCAATGTATGTTTTTAACAGAATATGTTAATTGCACTGTCTGCTATGTAAAAAATATAAGCAGTTCTAATGCTTGTCTTGTGATAAGCTAAATGTGTTATTTCTCATGTTTAATAATATTTTACAGTTTAACAAGAACTAAAATGAGGGCACAGCCAGTATCACTCTTGCTGCTTGATGTGTCTGTTTTATTGCATGCTAGATCTTCTTTTCAAAATATCTGTATATACAAACAGTTTATTAAACTGAGATGAGCAAATTACTTTTATGAGAACTGTCATTTTTCATGAAAAACATTCATTTGAGATGGAAAAGCATACTATGTCATGTGTCTCTTAACTGAACATGATTCAATTAGTGCCCAGTTAACATGAGTTTTCTTACAGTGCCACCACACTACTTTATGGAGTGCTATGTCTGTTTACATCAATGCTCTGCCTTGTGTAATGGAAACTTGTAAATGTAGCTTTATCAGCACTGCAAATCTCTGACTTTCAATTTAAAGGAGCACTAAGTAACTTTTCTTATGGAGGGTCCTCCACCTGTTCATTTTCATGGAGATTTTACGGTTTTGCTTGAAATGTTCCAGTGGCATTTTGTCTATCCAGTTTTTATTGCTAAACAAATTTCCTGAAAAACAAATGTGAGCACAGTCGCCTCTCCACAGATTTGACTTGTAACTTGGCCTGATCCTCCACCAGAAATGTTGCATATGTGCAGGGGCAAGAAAATAAATATACAATGATTATATGAATAAATTTTTTTTTTTTTCAACCTCAGTACAAAATGCCAAAGAAGCATAAAGTTCTGCCCAAGAAAATATCAAATAAACAATCATTTTTTCCAGACACATGAACCAAAAAGTACCAACTAAATCATTTTAAAGCAGTTATCTTGTCTGGGCTACAGGAACAGGAATATTGTTGGTAAACTACATCAGAAACATGCTCATTGAGGTGAATGATGTTATATTTCAAGGCACACTGCCAGGATTTCTCATTGTCCTAGTTTGAGCATGCTTCACAAAAGAGTATACCTCCTGTAAATACTCTTATTTACAAAACTCATTTGCACATCATTTGCACTTCAGCAAATAACCTGCTTAGTGTAAGTGTTCCAAACCTGTGCAAGAGAAAGGAAACAGAACTTCTGCTTCACAGAAATACCTCTAGCTAAATCACTGTATAAAATGTGATATAATTTATAATTTAATATATTTCTACATTATTATATTAATTTGTTGGTTATAAGACAATATTTTTAATCAAACAAATTGTGTGCCCTCATAAACAATCAACTTCTATTATCACATTATTTTATTTTGTGGCATTTATCTTGTGGATTTAAACCACATATAAAGAACAAGAGCGTCACTGTCTCTGTTAATGGACCGCACACACTCGTTGCACTTTATATGCCTGCCGTTCAAACTGTATTTCTCAGAACAAGACTACCATGCATATTGCAACTCGCTTTGTTCTTCAACCTAAATTACCACAGATTTTTCCAACCTCCGTTTGAACTTTAAATGATGTGTGTTTCCTTATAAAGTGCTTTATAGCAGCCTTTGACATAAAGGCTTATAGTCGTGTGAGCTGATAGTCGTGTGTGGGCCACATGTCACCTTAGACCACTGTCTTTTAATACTTCTTTTGGCCTCTTTTTTATTGCAAAATAATTCTTTCTGATACAATAAAATAACCTTTAGTTGTCCCAGAATGAAAGAAATTGTGTACAAAACAAATAAACAAAAGAAAATCAACAAACAAAATATTAATACATGCTTAAAATGTCTGACATACTGAAAACCATATGTATATTGCTCAAAATATAGTTTACAAAGAGAATAAAAAGGCTACATGATTATCATTAGTGGTGTATTATTTGATTTTTTCCAATAATAATCACATCTAATAATTATAGTCTAATTCAGTTTTCTATTTCTACTCACAAACAGTGTAAATTGTATTGCACTAATGGTGGCTCACCTTATAAAACAAGTATTTTGTGTTTGCTCCATGTATAGATGTTAGTTTAGCCAGGACCTCTAGCTCCACTTCCTACACTGACTCCAGAGGGAAGCCCAGAACTTCTTGATGTCCACCAGA